AATACAATAACTCAATCGTAAAATTGTTTTGATGGAGTATTTTGTAAGAAAGTACAATACATGCTCCAAGTATTGAAATGCACGCCATCGTGTTGGGATTCAATATTTCGACATTAATTATGTCATCATCTGGAATCTGATGACGACATATCATTTACAATGTATTTTGTAAACCAAGTACTGTAAATAAAGACCTAAGTGCAAGGTTTATCATTGAACATAATGAACAAACCGAAATTGAAGTCATTTTTCGGCATACATTGATATTTAAATCCTATGAATAAATAGAGGTATAATCATCATCCACTGGGGATTTTCACACAATTTCACAGACCAAACTGTAAATTGAATGAGCACCATAGTTGCATACTCAATTGTAGGTGGATCTGTATGGGTCGGCTAAAGCAGGAGTCATGAAAGACTTAATAATAACATCTAGGATTGGTGCCAATTAAGACAAGACAACTAAAGCCTAATAACAATAATTATTTAAGTAAAGCATCTAGACTACCAATCGAAACGTCAATTCTTATGCTTTTATAATACATCTCATGGTGGTATAAGTAAATTTATAACCAACGTTAAAGAATTGTGCTATGAAGTACATTGTGTGGCTAATAGGTTTGGACGCACATTAACAGACAACACGCCTGTCTCCAGTAGTGTATATCAAACTATTAGAGACATACCAGAGACATCGGGATCATTGTTTCAATAATGGGATTAACGAAAGTGAGTTGTTAGGAAGATCGTCACCTTCAGTATACCGTACTGGATAAAATCAGGAAGGTGTCTCCATGATCAGACAGATTTCTATGGGTGTTCACGTTCAGGCTCCTGTTAATCAATTTTGCGACTAACATGTTAGCTTAGATGGAAAGCGAGTGCATCATTAATAAGAATAATATCATCCTGTGAAGGCATGAGTCATGCCTACACTGTTGTTGTTTGATAGATGTTATTAACATGTACTGTGGTTATAAAGTGCATGTTAATCCTTTATCTATTGAAAATAATAACTGGCTTTTCCCAGCAGTAACTGGAAAGGCCATTGTTTTTGTTTTTCTTTTTTTCTTCCATATCGTTTTTCCTATCTTTTTGCACTGGGTTATTCCGCCCGGCACTTTGGTCACTTTCCATGCTTGGGTCATTTCATACTTTGTCGAAGCATACCGGTAGACCATATATCCAGGATGTGCCTCCTAATATTTACTGTAGTGTCAATCTCGAGTGGGGTATTGATGTGAGCACTAATTAAAGGGATTTAAGGGCAAACACTATATTTCAAAAACGGGTCAACTGATCTGAATCAAACTTTCGGGAAAGTTTAACCAAGGTATAAGGAAGAAATTGTTACGTGTTAGTGACGATCCCGTTTAGGGTGTAACTTTGAGGGTCATATAAATTGTTGACGTCCCAGACTTAAATATCTCAAAAACCTAATCTATGGGTCTACATGAAACTTTCTATAATAGTTCGTCAAGGTCTAGTAAAGAAATGATTGAATTTCTGTGACGATAATGGGTGGGGTGTGGATATGCCATCAAAGGAAAACGTCCCAGACCAGATATTTCAAAAACTAATCAACTGGTCTGAATGAAACTTTCTTGAAATTTAACCAAGTTACAAGGAAGACATTACAGTATTACGTGTTGGTGACGATCCAGCTGAGGGTGTAAATTTGAGGGTCATTTCAATTTCCGACCTCCCAGACCCTAATATCTCCATTATCAACGGGTCTAAATGAAAATTTCCATAATAGTTCATCATGGTCCAAAGAAGAAATGATTAAATTTTGGTGACGATCTGGCGTAGGGTGTGGCTATGAGAACCATTCATAGGAAAAAGTCCCAGATCAGATATTTCAAAAAACTAATCAACTAATCTGAATGCAATTTTCGGGAAAGATTATTACGGTAAGTGTTGGCGACCATCTAAATTCGGGTGTGAAGTTGAGGGTCATTTACAGTACTCACGTCCCAGTTATAAATGGATCAAAATGAAACTTCGCAGAACAGTTTGTCATGTCCAATAAAAAAAAAAAAGATCAAATTTTGATGACGATCCGGAGTAAGTTGTGGATAAGAGAACCATTAAAAACATTTTTGGACAGTTGATTAAATTATATAAACGCAATTTGCGTTTTCTAAAGCGTTTAAACCCAAACTACGGTAATATGCATTAACAGTTTTTGCTTTCAGTCACTGAATCGCTATGAACGAAAAATACACTAGCCTATAATACAAAGTCGGCTCACATTTACGAGTCTCGATGTACCTCGTTATTACCATTGCAGCAATAGTTCGAGTCTCACTAACGTCGCGGTAGTTGTGAACTTGGTTTTCATTGTTTAGTACTATAAGTATTTTGGTTTTCCGTTTTTATTTATTTATTTTTTACTTTATACTTTTTAACATGTTTTTTTGTTGCAATTTCAACTTAATTTTTCATTATAGTAATAAGGAAAAGCCCTATGTTCTGTTGTACAGACATAGTAAGTCTAGCTATTATTATTTTTATTTCAAGGATTTACCGACATTGTATTAATGGACAACATTTAAAAGGTGAAAATCTGAAATATATTGCAAATTTACACTCGGAATATAAGTCAACACCCGACTTCACAATTTAAATTATATGGTTGCAGTCAATGAACTGTGTCGAAGCATGTAGAACCTAAGGACAGTTGCTGAATGGGGATTAGGTAGGGATGTAAATGGCAATTAGGTAGGGATATAAATGGCAGTCCCTTGTTATGAGCAGCTCAAGAGATGCTCAGCTATTGCGTTTAAAGAGCATATCTGATACATTTCGAAGGTCTGAATTTATTCGTCGAATATAAATATTCCGAGTGTAAATTTCGTATTTTTAAAATTTTTTTGTCCTTTTTTTTTATATAGGCCTATATACTATTCTATTAGGTGATGGTTTTTTAGACCTAATTGGAAATAAGTCCTCTTGGACTTTAATGGGTTTGTCTAAAGGCCGACGCAGCCCGACCCGATTTATCGTCGGGGACAGTCTTAAGCCGTCGTGAGAAATATTAAACATGTTTAATATTCTACGACGCGACTGCCCCCGACGCACACCATCGCGTCTGCGTTTAACCAGTTTAACTCACACAGACCCGACGTGACAACAAATCGCGTCGGGCTGCATCGTACGACGCTGTCTGAGTTGGCCCCCAACATTCTGTTCGAAAGGTGTATATAAGAATAAACGATAAATTAACTAAAAAAATTTACATTTTTACTAATAATTATATTTTATTGCTATTTTAACTTCTGGCTTCGGACCTTTTTATCTATCTCAATGTAAATTGGTAAACTGATGTTTTTAATGTTTGTAATGTTTTGCTTCTTTTTTTAATGATGCCGAATAAATTCAATTGAAATTCCTTGTTGTAAAACGATCATAAAAACCAGGACTCTCTATTTGAAATATCAAGATTTAAAGATAATTACTTAGACTTTTGAGACAAGAACTTATGTGAAAATATTGGGATTTCTAAAATTGAGGGTGAGCGAAATTTGTACCTTTGCTTTCAAATTGAAAAAAATTATTATTTTTTTGATATTCTTAATGTAGGCCAAATCCGGGGAGTTTTATTCCGGCAAAAAAACGTTGGTTACTATATTCTGTTTCCATGAAAACAATTATAATGCTGGAAAATATGGTACAAGATTGGAGACAACCCATATCAACACCACCATTTTTTTACCTTTAACCCCAGTTTCTACAAATCTGTATCATATTAACATTTTTTTTTCTGTCAAACACCCTTTTGTGTCTTAGAAACTACAGTACACCATATCTAAACATTGCTTCCTCAGGTGCCTGCTCTTAATAACCATGATTGCCTGCCTATCATATTTAACTATAATACCAATGAAGGCTGTAGGTTTTCTACAAATGTGTGCACTAAGATGCAACATTATTTAAACCTTCACTGCGATAACTATTTTCAGAAAAGCACACACACATGTTCAATTTTTATAATTTATTTGTTGAAACATATTGTGTAAATTTTTTACAATTTTAATTTACATTAGTTTTTCATACAGCATTTATAATTTTGGCAATATGAATAAATTACATACAAAAATAATTACCGTGATAACACTGATAAAAACATAGTGCGGTTTCATTGTCTTACTATTATCTAGCATTCTCCCATAATAACCACACTTAGCATGGTAACAATTAAATTACTACCACCTCTACTAAACAACCGAAATATAACCAACATTAATAAACCACCAACGCAACATAAAAAATACCATACATTATGACTAACTTGGCTCCTTTGTGGAGGCTTTCTTTTTGGAACATTGCATTGCACTTTCATTCTCGAACTTTTTTAGTAATATGTAAGCACCAACCATGTATAATGAACTAGAGTATATTTCAACAGATTGTAGGCAGGACCATTTAGACCTTGTTAGATTCTTGCTTTATCAAACTATACTTTTTGAAAAAACAAAAATGGGTGGAAACCAAAATTAAAATATAATTTTGTTTTCTCATTTAATAGCAAGATGTTTTTGACAGTCTTTAGGTGAAAACAAATATAAGGTAAATCCTTGGCAAGCCAAAGGTGCTCATAGGGCTGGAACTTATCTCCAGTTTTAGGAAGCGTAAAGCGGATGATAGTGTGATGCTTCCCCGGGTTACTCATAAAAAAACTTGTACCCATTGATAAAGTGCCTTGCTCTAGGACAAGCGAAATGCGCAGCAAAATGCGTAAGCGAAATGCGCAACAGCTTAGCTCAGTCGGCTAATCTGGTGGTAGCCGTTGTGTGTGCGCTAAACCGTGGAGATCTGTAGGTCCCCGGTTCAATTCCCATCGCTGCCTCTCCTTGTGTTTCAGCTAGAGGGCAGAAATACAAGTTACAACAGCGCACCGTCTTTCGGATGAGACGTTTAAGCCATTGGTCCCGTGTGCATTATGGCCCATGTGCACGTTAAAGAACTCAGTACATTCTTCGGAAAAGAGTAGGGGATTGTCTCCCAGTGTACTACCCAATCACCACCAGAAGGACCCCACTGGAAATAAGTCTTCTTCTAGACTTTCGTGGGCTATCCTTGGTGTTTACACCGAATAAATCCAATCCAATCAAACAAAACACAATGATATGGTAAAATTGTACAAAAAGAAATTAAATATGACATGAAAAATATAATTAAAAAGTAAATATTAAAACACACATATGAGAGGAAGCAAAGAGGCCGACAAATACAAAAATGAGAGCGTGTGAGGAAAAAAAAGTGATAAAGGATGCGCTTAGGCTCTCAAGATTCTATAGCGCATCTTCGTAAATAAAGCAAAATTGCAATGTAAAATGTTCAATAATCAGATTCATAAATTCTATATAATTTTCTAAACTTTGAGGAAGATTTTTGTTTTGATTTTCCTACTAAAACTTCCAGCCTTTTGCGGTGGCAGATGTGCTATTATCTAAAACTATAATTTCATTTTAATTTGAAATCATCATTGGCGGGCGATGACTATATAAAGCTGTCTCGTTGAAACAGACCATTTAGAAACAACGTAAATAATGACTCAAAAAGTATTGTACAATAATCTGGACATAACAAGAAACAGTATCATTGCTGAATCAATAACAGTTAAAATTAAGAACCTAAAGTAGTAACATTTATGAAGCATACGGTACGGTAGAAAAATATCCTCTTATTTAAGCAGTGATGAAATATCATTTCTCATGAGTTTATGTCGTATCTATGTATATATTAACAGTCACCATGTGTAGATGTTTTCAAGGCTGTGTGCAACATCCTTACCAATCACAGAAGGGCAAGTTGTGGATGTTTCCATTTTTTTATGGATTGAAAGATTACAGGCTCACAAAATAGATATCAAGGTGGGACATCGTTAGTGTTACCTCAGTAACACCAACATTGTACAGTATGTCAATACTTGGATCCAAGATTAAATAGAGCACACAATTGAAACCTCCACTACTGTGGGACCGATATCAATTTATGACATTGACTCATGAGAAAGTAAATCTTAAAGACACTCTGTACAAATTGCAATTTGTTCTTTGATGAAATCTCGGCAGGGACACATCCGTCTATGGTCACTATCGTTACCAGCACAACTAAACAACAATATTTCTGACTGCATATAGCAGGTTTGATCCAATTGGTCCCAAGAGGGTGCTATGATCTCTTCTAAATACTTAAATTTCATACAAGGTATATTTTGTCTGAAAAAAAAAAGCAGTTTATATTGAAATTTATTTAATGTCAGATAATACATAAAATAGACATAAATTATTTCTTTTATCTTTTTGTTCAAGTACAAGTATATAAAGGGAGTTGCACATCCTTCCGGTGGCAGTGTTTTTCCTGCTTTTGCATCTCCTGCGAAATGATGCCAAATGAAAAGCTGCGGAGGTACTCAGCTGTATCGAATGCCTTGGTGGCACTGCTAAGTAGCGAAGGAATGTTGAATGGTGTTGTAATGTCAGCAACAGAGTACACCATGAATATATTGAACAGATCAACATCAATGGCATCAATTTCCTTTCATGCATATAGCTCTGTCCACACTATCAAATTTTATTTGACGAATACATGTGACATGTCTAAATATGGTCAAGGTGACATCACATCATGACCATATATAGGCATACCATGACTATATATGGGTATAAAACAGATTTTTGTCTATTTGATAGTCTTGACAAAGCGTAAGAGTGTCCCATCCAGTTCTGACCATTTTGAACCACTAATGCTATGTAAGGGTTGTAGAAGCGGGTTGGCATAGCATTATACCGGGAGCAGTTCCGTGATGTTTCTGCTAGGAGGCACGACATCAAGGATAATGGTCTGTTTAACAGCCAATCATTATCAACATAAAATCATTTTATTTGACAAAAACATGTGACATGCCTAAATATGGTCATGATGACATCACATCATGACCATATATAGGCACATCATGACTATATATGGGCATACAACAGTTTTTTTTGTCAAAGGAAATTTGATACTGTGGACAAAGCTTAAAGCTATTACATGTTAGAAAGTTTGTGAAACTTACTCTTGAAAGTTTTCCTTATTGTTGATATATTTAAAAAATGCTGGCTCACATATAAAACCTGAAAGATAAAAATATAATAATATATAATAATTGAACTTATATAGTGCGACAATGCGAAGCTTCAATGCGCTTTACAACCACGCACACTCTCACACAAACACTAAAAGAGCAAAGGAGTGGGAGAAGAAAAGGGCAATTATTGTTGATATACTTAAAAAAAGCTGGCTCACAAATGAACCCTGAAAGATAAAAATATAATAAATAATAATAAGTTGTACTTATATAAACCACACACAATCTCACACAAACACTAAAAGAGCAAAGGATTGGGTGGAAAAGAGGGCAATGAAAGAAATAAATGAGTTTTGAGTTAAGCCTTTAGTGTGGAAGCTTGCTTGATGTATTCAGGCAATTCATTCCATAGAGTGGATGAAGCAAAGGAAAACAATCTTTGACCTAAGATAGTGTATTGACCTTTGGGAATTGAGTAAGAACTGTGATGAGGAGTGTAATCTCTGTGAAGGATTACAAATTGAAAGTCACCTTATGCAAGTTGGAGCACCAGAGTGCAGTGCTTTAAAAGTAATGAACAGGATTTTGAAGATGATTCTTTTATTGACTGGTAGCCAACGAAGATCATGGATGACAGGTGTTATGTGACAACATGGTTTACTTCTGGTTACGATGCGAGCAGCGATGTACTGCACCCTTCGGAGCTTAAGCAGTTGGGAAGGCCAAAAAGCATGCTGCTGCTTAAGTCCACACGGGATGTATGAACAGTGGCTGCTCTAGGATATATTTTCTGGGGGGGGGGGGCTAAGTTGTCCGGGGGGGGGGGCTCAGTTGTCCGACAGGGGGACTTGAGCTCGTATGCTCGAGCTGGGGGAAGGGGTTGAGAGGGGTTTTCCGATCCCAAATGATATTTTTTTTTAAAGAATATCAACCTCTGGATGGCCGAAAATGGCACTCTCAGAGTGTGACAGACATGTGTTGGCTTGGTGTGGGCCTATTTTTATATGTTTTATGGTCTGACTGCCCGACGAGCTCTGTCCAGCGGGGGAACTTGACCTGTCCCCTCCCCCCTGGTGCCACCACTGGTTATGAAGGCATGTACCAGTCTTTCAGTCAACTTTTTGTCCAAGTATTTCCTGACACTGCCTATTTTCAGGATGCACATAAGAATAACAGTTTTCAACTAAGTTGTTAACTCAGGTTAAACAAGAAATAAACAATGTGTGTGTTGCTTTAATTGAAGATTAGTGTCAAGAATAACTCCAAGGTTTCTGTCTTCACTTTAAACAAGTAGAGTAGACTCACCGATCTCAATAAATTTAATTGGGATGGAATTTAAACGGCACAAAACATATATACATATCGGTTTGAACACTAACGAAAAAAGTATGTGATACTTAATAATATATTTTATTGTACTTAATATTGGCAAAGGGGTTTAGAGATGACCACTTAATGCATTGTTTATCTCCACTCAAGTCCCCGGATAACATGTATTTTAAATGTAACCGCATCGCTTTATCAGATATTTCTTAGTATGTCCATACAAACATGCTATAATAGCATGATGTTGATTAATCTTAATTGTTCTTGGTGCATATGATGGTGACAAGATTACTGTAGCCATGACGTAAACGCTCCTATTTTGACCTCTTATAGCTTATTAGGTCATTTGCTGAAAATGTACTGTTGCTGAAGGCAGTTCCACCTACTAATTTTAATGCACCCATATATATATTTGTATGCTTATATGTAAAAGTACATTAATAAATTTGAATAGTTTCATCTGGTTAGCTTAATATTAATAAAAAAACAACAAAAAAACTTGTAATGCGTCGATTCCAAGAATAATGATCAAAGGCGCAATTTATATTAAAAAGCCAAGCTGTTAAAGAGATGAGTTTTACGTTCAGATTTAAATGTAGTAATAGATGTATCAGACCTATTGAAAAAGGTAGATCATTCCAAGGATACAAGGCTGAAGATGTATATGTGGCAAAGACAAGCCAAACCAGTCACTCATCGCAAATCCTGTTTTGGAGATAATGGCCAAAACATGCTGGAATTTCAAAATTTTGGAAATCTATTTTATTGCACTAAACTAACCTTTATATATCTATACATCATGCTATGCTGTTATTTTCCTCATTTTCAATGTTAAAACAACAATTTTTAACGATTTGGTGATGGTTCCTGCCTAAGAAATGCCTGAAATCGTAAACTTTGAAGGCTGATTTCTCAAATATTGTTCTTTAAACAGCTGTATATTGTTCTTTAAACTCGTGTAACTTCATAACGAAGTGTCAGATTTAAATGATCCTTTTACCATTTTATAGCTCTCATTTTACTGTTTAAATTTTTACTGTATTAATAACTAAAAATTGATTTTTCCGACGAGTGACTGGTTTGGCTTGTCTTTGCCACATATGCTCTTTGGCCATATGTCGCAGTAAGTTAACATCCGCTGTGTTTGATTTATTAACGATAAAAACAGTTCTACTAAATTCCTATATTTTATACAATTAGTAAACTTTTAAAAAAATAATTAATAGGAGTATTATCACTTAGAAAGTTAGACCTATATTCTTTATCTATGTGTATGTATTGAATTGTCTTTTATTTTTTTTTTTTTAAAGAGCCACTGCATATCAGCTGACCTCCTTGGCTTAGCTGGATTGATTACCCTATTTTAATATGGTTTAATTTTTTTTGAATAAAAAAAAAATGCTTGATGCAAATATAACATCTTGAACTCAATATTTGATTTTTTTGGTAAATATTTTAATTGTTACAATATAAATACTTGCTTTGATGTTTTTACATAACTAGATGATTGTTTTTTTTTTTTAAATAACTAGACAGTCCACCTAGAAAATCTGTTTCTTTTACCATTTTTGTTTTGTTTTTTTGAATGAGACAAGTTACTTGTTTAAATTGAATTAGCAGTGTTTGTGTGCAGTTTATTGTACTGTACCTTGCCTGCTACAGGTATCTTTACAGGATTCTCCCGACTGAGCAACAACCTGTTTCATAGCGTGCTTTGGCGGCCAATGTGACTCTCCACAGAATTCCTGCAAAACAATTAAAGTGGGTGTCAAGGTACTAAGCAAAGCATGGATACTAGCAAGGACCACCAGTCATAAGAACCAGATAACCGATAAACAAAGTGTACCCCAATATAATATTAGAGCATGATAATTCACCTGATTTTGTATATAGATGCTAAGCCTCTGCAACATGCCCTCGCACGAGAACTCAAAGGGCAGATGTGGAGGCAATTCCCCCTGCTTTACTATCTCAGCTAACGTCATCTCCAGGGCTGTGGTATTACTGATGTCCACAGTGTGAACATACGGTTTACCGATGTACTGTTCTGCATATGGGTGCTGAGACGTCAGCTGTGGAGAAAGCACAAGGATATGGAATTTGTTGAAAAGCTTTGTCCACACTATCAAATTTTCTTTGACAAAAACCTGTTGTATGCCCATATATAGTCATGATGTGCCTATATATGGTCATGATGTGATGTCATCATGACCATATTTAGGCATGTCACATGTTTTTGTCAAATAAAAATTAATAGTCAGGGCTTTATATACGACACATCAAGATGCTATGTGCGTGTATTATATATTCATGTGCATTTCTATCTATAGTATAATGCAACTGTCTGTGTTGTTCCATACTAAAATTGTAGGCCAATTTATACTGACAGACCAGGAAAAGTACTTGACACAACACAGAGGTGACATCAGTTTTAGGGACGGTGTGTTATTGTTTTATTTAGCAGTAGCTATTGTTACACTAGTCTTAAACAAATTCCTAATTATGAATGGATGTTACAGTATTGTAATGCAATCCATTATACTTGCAATAAAATTTTTAATCAGAATTAGGAACTTGTTTTTTATTTAATTACTGCAAATCTTTTCTCCACATGGCCATTCCTTCATTGGAAGCGGTTTAGTACAGGGGAAATCATTTGGTTTCTCAACATTGAGGTCTGAGTTTCAATCCCTCGCAGTGCACCTCACTTGTGCCTGCGTTGCTTCTCTACACCCAGGAGCATAAATGGTACCTGGTGTGATCGTCTGCTACGAGCCAATATGGCAGTAACACTTAAGCATGAGGACCAAATGACCAGGGACAACAAAGCGCTTTGTAAAAGAAAAGCCGCTAAATACCAAGCAACACATAACATCAAAACATATTTCACAAAAAAAAAAACAACCAATACTTGCTCCTCTACAAACCAGCAAACACTCTAACCCGAATAATACAAGAGCAAAGTACTAATATTCCTTTAACTTTGCTCCAACCAGCAAATTGTCAGATTTAATAACAGCACCAGTGAAGGCACACAAACAGTAATCCAGTTAATGACTCATACCTGTCTTGTCGTTGGTTTATCTTTGAAAAACTTAGTATTTAGTGAATTCTTTGGTGGTATAAATAACGGATTAAGAAACACACAACCATTTGCAATGGCTTCTAATGGTGCTGGTCCTTCATACGGGAAACCAAGACCAACAAAAAGCTGAAAGAAAACCAAATTGAAAATATAAAAAAATAAATAAATATAAATATTGAAATTTTATGGAAACACAGAAAGAAATGCTTTACATAATACAGTGAATAAATATTATAGAAAAATGAATGGAGAGATAAGGAAACAGATCAAACATAGAGAAAATAATATTAGATGATAGTTTGTGTAATATATTAATATACTGTAAATTATTCATTTACATTTTTCTATCTGCCTAATATTTTTTATCCTTATTATATTTTTATAATTTCTGCCCTTTTATTTATCTGTTACTAGATATATAATGCTAAAAAAACTCCATCTTGAAGTCATTCTTAAGTGCAATTAAGATACAAATATTGTTATATTCAACTGTATATACGTACAGTCGGATTGTGTATATAATTTATTCCTAAAGATGAACAAATAAAGTTCAATATATTGAATCAGAATGGCTTGTATCACTTCGTTTCTTACTATTTTTGTTTATATTCATATATTTAATTTATTTATCTATAACCTAATTTAATTTTACTTTTCTTTTACTTTTTCAGTTCATTTGTAAATTAATAATCAAATAAAGATAATCCTCAAGTGTATGAACATGAAAACTAATAAAAAAATTGAAATCCTCTACGATCAGTTTTTCACTGTGACAATGTCACTGATAACCATAATAGTCAATGTGCTCCATTAACATTCAGTATAAATAAAATTTATTCAACATATATCATTCCCAAACTTATGGATGACAGCTCACATCACACCTGCTATATCAATTACTTGTCTATTATACATAATAATACATAATACAGAATTGAAACTGATAATATTCATCTGGTGCTTTGATTTCAAAGCGATTCCACAACAAAAATTATAATTATATTTACAGTAAACTTTGGTATGAAAAAACACCTCCATAGTGATGTAATAATATCTGAATACTGTAATAATTTGAACAAATGCCCCCACTAGACCTCCCTCAAATAAACGCCATACGCCGAGGCATATATTTTTCCTTGAATAAACACCCCCTAAATTACTTTAAACAAATATAATGGGAGCAACATCATTCATAACACATTTTATTATATTCTACTCAAGTAGACTTACAATTTTTCTAACCTGGTTGGGATCAATAACTAAGCCTTTATGAACACGCATATATACATTTTGGCGGTAATTACTGTATGTGCTGTAGTTTCACATTTATAGTAAAGTTCAGGGGTGTTTATTTGAGTATTTATATCCATTTTACACAAAACAAAAATAAATGCCTCCCTTGAATAAATGCTCCCCCAAAAACTTTTCTCTACAATAAAAGCCCCAGAGCATTTATTCAAATAAATGCAGTTTATATAGCACTCTTTATAGTCTCACAATGCTTAAAAAAAATCATGGAAAAAGGTGATATGATGACAATAAACTGTTCCTGTTTGGATTTCAAATCAAAGAGAGAGATTACCCTATTCAGATACTCTACCAGATCCATCTGAACTAGTAGGAAGCATTAAGACACTATCAGGTGATTTATAAATCCACTATAGAGATCACCATATATCACAATTACGTCATGTACGGCCTACTTAAGTGGGACCCAAATATTTCAGTCAAAGCATTCATACAAATCAGAAAGAAAATAAAAATTATGAACAGAAACGAAGGTGTAGGTAAAATTATACCCCATCCATGATGACATGCCTACTGCAGCAAAAGGGGAGGGGACCCTCTGTAGACTACCAGCAGTCAATAACATCAAAACAGTTGACAATATGAATAAAATGATTTGCCATTAATCACATATTAAAAAAGTGACTATAACTTAATAGTATTAATAGAATTGAATGTAAAAAAGGTTTGTTGCAAGAAATCTGTACTATGCCCTTATTTAAATTATTATATTACAAATCTATCTTTTTTTTTTTTACAAAATATCTTAACTTATCACCTTCATTTGACACTCCGCTGCCAGAAGTGAAGATGTTTTTATTAATGACTTAGCGTACATGTAAATTTAAAAAACAATCGCTTTCTTTAGCGAGACTAAAACAGAAAGCTGTGTAAATTGATGAGAAGGAATCTCACATAGTAATCCACTATGCAATAAATTAAATCTGAAATTATGACTATAAGTAGAAATCAGATCATTTAAATTCTGATTTACACCTGCATTTCAAGTCTGCCTGACACCTGCGTGCGAGGTGTCTTGCGTGCTAATTTCAACATCGTCTGCGCACAATCCGTGACAAATGGTGTTTGATCTTCGATCATAGCATCGCATAGGATGTGTGACTATGTGTCAGGCATGAACTAATAAAATAAATCATTCAATAAATCTAAATTTATCATTATTATTTCATGAATTTCAATGTTCATACATGGTGAAGATTAACTTCATTTGATTATTGATTTTCGAATGAATATAGGAAATGTTTATAACAATTAAATAAAAAAAAAAAAAAGTAAATGCATAGACACTCATTTGAATACATATGAGACATACCTGTCTTTCTTGCCTACAAAGCTGTTATGTATCAGTACTGTCTCTTATACACATCTAGATGTGTATAAGAGACAGTATATATATATATTGTTAACTTTTTAATGTGAAATGTTTGTAAATTTTATATTGCTGTGTTAAATTTTTTTTTAAAAAATAAACCAGAAATGAATGAATAAATGAATATATATCATGCGATGTTAGTATTTCCCTCATTTCTGATGTTAAAAAACTAATTTTCTTTTTATAACTTGATGATGTTCTCTGCCCGAAAAAGTGAACTTCTCAAAAAACTATTCTTTAAACAGCTGTATGTTTAAACTCCTGTAACTTCACAATTAAATGTCAAATTTAAATGATTCTTTTACTATTTTATAACTTTCATTACACTGCTTAACCCTATATTAACTAAAAATTTATTTTTGCAAAGAAGTGATCAGTTTGGCTTGTCTTTGCTACATATACAAAGTATTGCAGATATAAATGCCTTGGAAACTAAAGTATTTTTTTTTCAAAATATAGTGTTGACAGTGTTTCTCTATGTAAACTGTACAAATGTTGGAATAAACATTTAAAGAACATGGTTGAAAGAATAAAATATTTGCTAGAAACAGATATTATCCAAAACATGTCAACCCTGTTCTGTGGAGTATCTCTCACACACTCAAATTTTATGTCAGTGAAACATCCATACAACATACATACTGATACATAACAGCTTTGTAGGCAAGAAAGACAGGTATGTCTCATATGTATTCAAATGAGTGCCTTGGATAATGAAGTATGCCATGTAGTAATATTACTAGTTTCTGAGAAAACATGTAACTAAACTTCATTTTGGGATGGCCTTTCAATTGCTCTTGCCATTTTCCAATGAAAATATTTTAATGCCTATTTTCAATAACAGCTCCAAAATCTACTCAATTTACAGAAAGTCTACACAATTTATGTCAAGCCTAAGCATTTTTAACACACATACTCCAAACACTGAACAACTATGCATAAAACACAATGTCAAAAAAAAATAATGCACAGAAGGATATAATAAGCAACTGAAGTAGTAAGAAAGGGCCTATTGTGTTACACACTTGAATGGCGATCATGAAAGGAAAATCTACACAATCATTCTTATCTTATGATATATTTTGAAATATTCTGTGAATATGGCCAAAGAAATATTTACCTTAGTTTCTCGTAGAAGCTGTTGGATCGCTTGACCTGATACAATCCCATGGTTGATAACGTAGTTCGGTAAATAACGTTTCATTTCAGTTAAATTGCGAAAAACCGTCGCATGCACAGTAAATTTCGAATGAATTATGTCTACATATTCTGTAGCATCCTGCAAAAAACAAAATTAAAGGGGAAGGTAAAAAAAACCTGTTAATCTGTGGAGTCAAAGAAATATAAATATTAAATATTTTAATTATAAAAGGTATGAATTATTTTTAGACAGTTTACTTGTAGTATTTTGCCTAGAGAAAATCAAGTAATAATGATTATGAGACGGCAAGTTCTCTTTTTATAGTGTATTATGAGCTGTAGAGTACTGGCATAATGACAGAATGTGGTTTTTGCAAATATATTTAATGATTTCAAAATAATCGAGGTTATTAAGATGATTTTGGGGGATTTTGGCTTTTGGGGAAGTTACAGTATTTCTCTATTTGTCCCCTATCTTCGTCCCTGAATAAACAGTACCGCATCAGTATTAAAATAGGTCATGTCAGAATATATACAATATGAGATGCCATGATATGATTGCTTTTAATATGAAGATATTTTACTGTCGTTAGCCAATATTTAAATGATTATACTTGCACAGTAATAATCCTAGTACTAAAACACCTGGCGCTGTAATCACTTTACTTTTTTATTTTTATCCCAGTCTGACATTCGCCAAAAAGAACGATGCGAAGGTCTGGATCCGCGCCTGTTCCATTATCAATTGGTGTCAAGAACATTGTTAGACTATTTGTTATACTATGGTCGTAATACATTTCTAAAAAATATATGAGTCATAATAGAAACTATTAGCCTTTAGTAGACTGCTAACAACAATCAATTGCATGTCTGACTATGAAGGGAGGTAAGAATTGAATCCAGTGCATTAATGGATTGTAGTTCCTTGTAGACAATATACTGCAGTGTTATAGACTTGAGAGTCAAATTGATATACAGTACTGTAGTTTGGTGATATTAGATAATTAGATTTTTAGTTATAGACAGTCTACCAAATTACACTGACATTAGTGAAAAATAAGACTTAATTTAGAAACCTTGGTATACAGTATTTAAAAAAATCTCTTTTTGCTAATTTACAGAAAAAAACTCCCAGTGGGATCATTTAATATGTGCCTATTGCTTGACAGTTTTTTTTGGGTACCTTTCTGTGACATAGTTCTTTTTTGGGTACCTTTCTGTGACATAGTTCTTTTTTGGGTACCTTTCTGTGACATAGTTCTTTTTTGGGTACCTTTCTGTGACATAGTTTTTTTTGGATACCATTCTATGTGGAGAATCAATTATTCAAATTTCTGATAACCTACAATGGTATCCCATAATTTCCCTCTTTGAACTTTAAACTCTCAAACTGGAGTTACTCTCACAACTTACAAGTGAGATGATAATTAATTCATAATTCATAATTTTATTTCTTCACATGAGATGGTAGTTAACAAAGGAAGATATTCCCTGTACAAGTGTCAACTACCAAAGCATAGAATACTAATAATATAATAAACAGCGACAACAATAACAATAATAACAATAATAATAACAATAATAACAATAATAATAATAATAACAATAATAATAATAATAATAATAATAATAATAATAATATTCATAATAATGATCACAGAAATAAGTAAAATTATAATAATTAATACTCCTGTTCAGACAGCATCGCATTGCGATCAGTTGTAGCAAATGCGACACCCAATTGCAAAGTTAGATTGTGTGAGAGCTCACCAATAGTAGTCGATAAGTAATCCGATATCACAACGAATTCCACAGGCACTGTTTGGCTGAGGTCATTCAACATAGGCCTAGCCACCGGAGTCCTAGGCCCTAGAATGTAAAGTTTTTGTGTATGGTTGATTGCAATCGGTGTTATCAGTTTCGGATTTTCACCGATTACCACCGTTTACATTGCAACCGATCGCAACAGAGTGTAGTCTAAATAAGGTATGAGTGTGTTACAGCCCCCTGCAGGCATAGTAGACACAAAAATTAATGAAAATAACATGCTGCCTGCATTTTTTATTTTAAATTATAACCTACAATATATATTATGTAGTTGACATGGTGCATTTGATATCCTAATCAGTATAAATATCTTGCTCTGTTATTACGTACTATCCGAGACACTTAGACATCTGGGATTAAAAACATTATTCAAGTAATTACAGATTCTCATCAATCTGACAGTTGCAAAATGAAATATCAAGCACAAGATATCACATACTGTACCCAGATCAAAATATTAATTACAATCGCAGAACACAGAACAGGTTTCTATGTATCTGATATTTAATTGACTGATCAAGTCAACTTACGGCCCACATGTTTGACTTCTTTCCGTAAACGAGGGCTGAATTGCTTTTACGTACAGTTGATGTTGGCTGGTTTGTCTCGGCTTGGTCAACAACGAACCCCATGAAAGAATTATCAGGCGTGTGAGCTGAAAGAAGACAATACAAAAGCTCATAAATTACCATGATGATATAAGTAAAAAAAGGTCATATTAAACCCATAAAATTTATTTTGATTGATTTTTCCACACCACTTACTAAAGCAACAGACTGAAAACATAAAGCCTGTTTTCTTTAAAAAAAAAACAATAAAAAAAAAACAAAAAAAAAAACCCAGATATTATGATGGCCTGAAGCAGGAAACCAACAACATAAATCCCATTGACTGTCTTTTCAATGCTCAGGACTACACTAGTCCAGTGGTAGCGCCAGAACCTGCCCAACGGAGGGGCTAGGGGC